AAACCCTGTCCTCCACCATTGTGCAGCAGCCAGAAGAAAATGACATGACTGTATTTGAATAAATGTAGATTGTTGTACATAAAAAATATAAAATATCCCCTGAAAATAAGCCCTAATGCGTTTTTTGGAGCAAAAATTAATATAGGACCATGTCTTATTTTCAGGGAAACACATAGATTTGTTCCTCACCAGATCAGATAATAAATTGATCCCTCCATTACCAAAAGCGTATCAGTTAACAACTTCAATTTTAATTTTCATAGTCAGCATTGAGTATTTTTCTCTATATACTAGCTATGGCTTGTCTTGATGCTGGAAAAGGAAGACTGTTCTATCTGTCTGTCCATCTGCCTTCCTTCCTTCCCAAATGAAAAGCCAAAGTATATCCTAAAAACAAAATGTCAGTTGCTACATCCTGAATAAGCTTGATCTAAGAGCCACTTTCATACAGGACATACAGTGGTGCCTCGCTTAGCGATGACTTTTTCGGAGCGATCTTGTGCTCCGTTTAACGATGGTTCCTATGGGCGATTTTCACACAGCGATGTTTGGGACCATGCTTCGCATAGCGATGACAGTTTGGGTCCCCCTGTTTCACTTAACGATGGTTTTGACAGCCTCATGTGGGCTGTTTTTTAAATGTTTAAAAATGTTTAAAAATGTTTAGAATGCTTGAAATCATAAGTACACTTAATAAACCCTTTGTTAAACTAATTTGACTTTGTTCCGACTCTTTTTAAATTTGTTGTAATTCCCCCCCCCATTGAGATGCATTGAATAGGTTTCAATAAATTTCAATGTGGGAACTGTGTTTCGCTTAGCGATGTTTCCTATGGCGATTTTCACTTAAGGACGGCAATCCGTTCCCATTGGAACGGATTATCCGGTTTTCAATGCATTTCTATGGGAAACCGTGTTTCGCTTAGCGATGAAATCGCTTAACAGCGATTTTTTGGGAATTATCATCATTAAGCAAGGCACCACTGTAGTTGAAACAAAGTGTTTAAATCAGCTTTTGGCGTTAAAATGCTGTTGTTTTCACATGCCATCACGTTTCAACTTTCAACTTATGGCAGCCCTAAGAGAGGTTTGAGGTATCTGAGTTGTTCAAGGCATACTTTACCACTGCCAACCTCCAGTGAGTTTTCATGGCTGAGGGAGGATTTGAACAGAGGTCTCCTCAGTCCTATTCTGACAACCTACCCTTTACATCACCGTAGCTCTTAGTTAAAATACTACTGCACATTTGGAAAGAAATGGATAATAAGATGCTTAATATACTTTGCCTTCTTCATAATTTATTACTAAATAAACAAAAATGGCCCAAATCCTATTGATTACTTATGCTGGCCAAAGTGCAATAATATAAATTGCAGTAACAAACTACTACTAGTTAACCAGTTGCTGCCTGTCTCCCTCACTGGGCATCAACTCACACGACTTGGATGCAACATGGCATACAAGCGGCAACCTTCCACTTCAGTTTACATCACCACACTTGTACTAGTATAACTAGCCAAAACAATTCTACCCAGTATGTTTTTAATGGCAGCAACATTATCCTTTTTTGCCTGGAAGAAATAGGCATGTTTTTATAATTCAATAACATCAATATTCCCTTTTGTAAACAGCTTGTTATCACCTGGATAGCTCTGAAAATTCAAGGGACGGCAATAAGGGTCATGGTCATCCTCTTGTTCCCAGAATCTACAGCTCAGAGGCATACATATGGTCAGTGCCTGTAATTCAGTGGCAAATAAGATTAGATGACTGGCCTGAAGACTAGGAATTACCGGGCAAAGAAAATCTTGCCTCTGAAAGCTCAGAGCCACAATGGATGTAGCAGAGACAAAAATCCAGAATGTGTTGACCCCTAATTCACAGGATGCTCTTCAGATTTCAATGGGACTAAAAGTACTTGTGACTAACGTGTCCTAATGATTACAGTAGTGCTTACACAGAATGGACTCTCTTTGGGTTTCAGCCACTGCAGTTTAAAAGACCTTAATATTGTGACAGTGGTTGTTTTTGTTTCTCATAACTAAGCAGCCTGGCAGAACTTCCCCAAATGTTGGCCACAGAAGTTCTGAATTAAAAGCGAGAAACATTTAGCAGCATCCCAGACCCATTCTCTTTCAGCAGCCTTCAGAAATATCCCCTTCTGTTGATGGTCAACAATAAATCTTATCTGTTGGAGATAGTTCAAATTACCTGCACAGCATGCGATAAATCTGACATCAAACAGTGTCTCAGTTTCTCATCATTTCCTATGCCTTGCAAAACAAAGTCTGGTACGTAAGATGAACAGTAGCCACCTAGCAAGGACCTTCCAAAATTGGCAATACTGGGCTGGACAGAGTTCACTTCAATTAATTTTGACCTGAAAGAAAGGTATAACATGGGCATGTATACTACAACTATCACTGAATTTCTCTTATTTCAGTGAGGCATTATGACCTACAATCTGCTGTAGAGTTAACATATACATAAGTCCCACTGACTTCACTGGGACCTGGTCACATACAACCATGCCATGGATTTCAGTCTTAGTAAATAAATAAATAAATCTCATCTTCATTGCAGAACCAAAGTTAAAAGAAGAGAGATAAGTAATTTTCAGTTTGACAACTGTATAAAATGCGTAAATATAAAGAAACCTGAACCAGTGCTGAAGTTAATAACCACGAGGCTGTATTTTTCCCCCTCTTGGTCAAGTGCCTTTCTTTTAATAGTCTTTCCTAAATTAGCAGTATACCCCACAATGTATAAAAGGTAATTAGAGCTTCTTTTAAATTGCAGCCTCAGTGAAATCAGCACTCTTACATTGCTGCACAGCTTCAATTAGTGTTTGAAAGAAGCTCAGCTGAAATATGAAATCCTGCATCACTTGCGTGAGGAAAACAGTATTTTCTCTACTGCAACTGTCTCCTGATATTCATTCTGCAAGCACTGTGCCTGTGTGTGTGTTCCTGCACGCACATAATGATGTCTGTGTATATTTATTTATTTATTAACCAGCTACACATTTGTCCACCCACAGAGCACCCATGTTTCCCTACTATCTCCGGGGCCATTGTTTTATAGCGAAATAACACAGAAATGTAGTGAACAATATAAATTGACCAAGAGCTAATTACTGGAAGAAGTACCTACCCAGGAAAAGATATTTCCTCTTCTTCTGCCCATTCTTCTTGTTCTGCGCCATAATAGTTTCTATCTCTTCTGGCCACATCGTGCCCTGCATCTTCACTTTCACTGTCCCCAAGGGCACTATCTGAACTCTCATTTCTTGGAATGTCCCAATCCACCCCGGGATCAGCCTTTTTTTCTAAGTTCTCTCTATCCCCACAGGGGACAAACACAGAGACATTGTCTCTTTGGTCCTGATCTGCAAAGCAGTTTTTGCAAGTCTCTTGACGGACAGATTCCATAAACTTACAAAACTCACTGGGTGATTTCTTGCTTTTTGTACAAGTTTTGGGAGGAAATTCTAATCTACTGCTAGGATCTAGAATGTCTGTTGTTGCTTTCAATGGAATATTGTCAACAGTCCTAGTTTGAACAGAGTGTTCCTCAGTAAAATACGCATCAAGCAGATTTGCACTTTCTGCACTGTAAGGGTTCCAATTCTGGAGCTCAACAGGCAGATTCTGATTTCCTTTTTGGTCCTCAAGGGCTTGCTTTGCTTCCTGATCCTGATCAGGAGTTACTCTTTCTTCAGCTTCCATCTCGCTGCTATGCCTGGCTATTTGTTCTACTATTGCTTGACTTCGAACCTCAATATCTGAATCAGGCGACATGGAATCTCCAATAAGGAAAGTCACCTTCATCTGACCTTCAGCAGTGCTGCAAGGAATTGCATCTGATGAAATTTTATCAGGTGGCTTCTTCTCTATCATTGTACTTGTTGATCTTGTCACTTCAACTGACTGATTGTCAGACTCCAGGGATGTCTCACTCCTCCATGATCCATCTGTGTGCTCCAATCTGGACTCTGCCAATACACACGTTTCTGCTGAGGCTGACCCAGTGAAAAGCACTCGCTCTAACTTGATACCTAGGCAAGAGGTTGATGCCTCTTTGCATTGCTTCACTTCTGCAGACCCTTCTTGGCCGTCAACTGGTGCAGCTTGGCTTTCACCTGAAGCATCCTCCATCTCCACCTTTGGGGTACTCTGTGAATCTTCTCTCTCCTCTCTTGAAACACCCTCTGTGCTCTGATGAGAATTAAGGGGGGGCTTGCAATATTTACAGCTACAATTAGATGTTCTCACTTCTTCTGGCTCTTGTGAGGTCAAATTGCCCCTGTTCTTGTGCACTGTGACCAGCACGTACTCGGACTCCTCTACTTCCCCTTTCTGGAGGGTGGTGGTGATAACAGTGCCAGGCATCACAATAGCTTCATCTTCTCCATTTTCCAGAAGGTGAGTCTCTTGCAGCTCAGAGCATCGTATGAAATAAGTGAGGAAGTAGAGCAAACGTTGCACAAGATCTTGTCTTTTGCCAACCACAATTGTTTTTGCTAGCCTCACAGGGGACCCAATAGCTCCATACAGATCTCCTGTTAAAGAGAATGCAAACAAAGCATGTTAGCATACCAATTTCCGAAAATATGCACAATAATTCTGGAAGGGGATGGGCTTCTGTGAAGAAATGTGTTCTTGATTTTACTGGGACGAATGGCTAGGTGAGAGATTTACCTATGAAATATTCCATGGTCATGTTCTATTTAACTATATCAATGCAGAGTGAAATTTAAATGCGGGCATTAAAATCACAGGACTGCTGAAAAGATGATGCCTGCTCTTCTGAGTTTCTGTGTATAACAAAGCACACTTTAACCACAGTCCCTTTGAACTAAACCTTCTTGGACTCCCTTTTAAATGATGGTTTAATTGTAAGTCACTATTGGAAGTCAGTTTTAAGTTCAAGCATAGGAGCTTTTTTTGAGAAGCCACTACATATCAAAAGATACAGGCAGCTACACTGATCCACTGCTTAGATAAAAGATCAGAAGTACACAGTATAGTACCTAATTTGTACCTAAAAATGACCAGATGCTTGTTTGTTTCACTGCTTTTCTTCCTTACTGTAATACTGCCATGAAAAACATGTACAGAATTGGATTATAAGTATCTTAATTAAAGGCTTTAAGGATGTAGTTCTGATCAAAAACTAAAAACAGAATTTCATTCTAAAGGGTAAATGTGGAGTGGGCACATGGAAGAGGTGGAAAGAACTGAGAGTCCAGGCAGACAGAAGGAACAGTACAACTGCTTGGGGAGGGTTGGCTTTCTTCTTATTATTATTTTGATACTACATAACACAAGAACGTTGACTCAATAGTTAGGTTCCCCCCCCCTCCTTGCCCATTACCCACTACTATTTAGCTGTCTTTCCTATTATAGTAGAGAAACTAAGCAAAAGATATTTTGTTCTCGGAATGAATATCCTGCCTAAGGTAACTTCAGACATACCTAACTGTGCCCATAATGGATTGTATGGGTGAGACTTAGCCAACATGTCCACACTTTGTGAGGAATGCTTTTCTAAAAAGATCCGGATGGGTGGTTGCCCGTTTGGCATGACAGTTGGGACCCAGGCCAGGTGGTTTGTCAAAATTGCAGTGAGAAGAGCTGGTAAAAATCTGAAAAATAAAAAAAAGCTTGTATAATATTGGTCACAACCATAAATTCCGCATTCAGGCCTTTTTTCATTAACATTTATGAAATCATGCATAATTATGCCCCAAATATTCCTCTCATTGCCGGACCAGTGGACAGCATTTCATGCAGACCCGCCTCATCTGCCAGGTATAACAACAGTTTTCCTCGGGGGGGGGGAAGCTCCATGTTGACAGTGAGAAAATGCTAAACTGAGTTAACACAAAACGCAATGTACAGAGAACCCATTGCTCACTCAGGAGCTTCACATGTATTCTGGAGGTCCTGGATTGAGGCATCTGAATAGAAACGATATGAAGTCTGAAACATATTTTCTGAAACATATTTAATTCTTTAATGTTGCCATTTTGGAAAAAAAAACCCATGAAAACCTGTAATGTCAAAACCTTCCAAAGACCATGCATTCTAGCCATCTATAATAATGCATGTGGCACTATTTTGGAGAGGAATAAAGCAAGGTAGGTTGAAGCTTTTGAGGTGTCTGAACATACAGGCCTGACTAGACTGTTCTTGTGAAATCTGGTCATAATAATGCCCTGCCCTACACCTTATAATTATAATAGAGACAAAAACTTAGCATCTCATAGGAGACAGCTTGTAACATCCCATTCCAGTGATGTTTGTTTGTTATAGATTTTTGATGTTATTCTCAATTTAACTTTCTGTCCATGCATATTGTTAGCCAGACTTCTTAAATTATTTATTTATTTATTTATGTTATTGAAATGCTACATTAAACAATGTTAAGACTACAGTATGATTTTGAATTGATGAAAATTTTCCAGGAAACTTCTGGCTATTAATAGAAAAAGATCTTCTTCACTTAAAACAGAACTGCTATGCACCCTTCATTTAAAACAGAACTAGGTTCTCTGAAGAAAAACCTCAACTAAACATCAGATAGTTCCTTCCAGTTTCATTAAGGTTACCCACTTAAACTTCTGAGGAAACAAGAGGTGGCTTGTTTTGATGTTACTATAGTACAAATCTAGATACATTAGCAATTCTTTAAGATGCAAACTAACTGCAGCTGCAATCCTATGCAATCTTCCCTAAGAAAAGGTTTCATTGATCTCAGTGGGGCTTACTTCCCAGAGGGAATGCTACAAATTCATCAAAGAAAATCTGAATTTAACTAGTCAAGGAAAATGAGATACCATTTCTAAGTGGTACAGATTTCATCTGTGCTTTGACCCAGTACTGCTGCTGAGTGTACATCATTGCATTCTGATTTAGACTACTTTCTCTCTCTTTTGTGAGGTTTGTAGCTCTTTACAAGAAAACGATGCTGTTGTATATGTGGTCCGTACTGAAATTCCATTATTTTAAATAATAGCTTCCTTTATCCCTTTGATGTGAAAGGCAGTTCTTTACCTATCACCACATGGCCTTTTCACCACCCACTCCCACTCCCTTCTTCACAATTCACAGTCATCTTTTTATTTGGTACTTGAAAGGGAAAGGAAAGCACAGCTGCATCTTTCTATTTTTTTTAAAAGAAAGCCGCCTATGCCTCATTTCACAGCTAATGCACCATACAACATAATGTTTTAAGATTACAACATTAAAAAACTAAAGGGGGAACAACAAGAGAGGAATGCTTTACTGGTTCTTGGAGGCTTGTTCCATTAAGAAAGCAAATTCCTTCATAAAGCCATGGCAGAGCTGGTTTTTCTCTGGCATCCCTGACATCATGGTAAGCCAAACAGGTTCCGCAATCCGTGGCATGGTATACAGATTACAAATTGTTGTTCTAAATCAAAAGAAAGAAAAGACAAAGTCACCAGACTAATAAACCTGTTACAATATATGTACGGCTATTTGTTTCATTGAAAGTTTCCATTTTGTTAGCATCCAAATACACATTATTTTTAGAGGACCTCACCCAGTCCTATGGCAAGCAGGGGTTTGTTTCTTTTTTTTATTCATGGCTGAGACTGGCTGCCATTCCAGTATGTTTTGAAAGTTTCAGAATGAAGGCTGTACTATCAGGGCCTCCTATTATTTAATACCTATTCTACAGATCTCAGAGAGATGGTCCAAGATTTGCAGATATCTATGCTTCTGTAAAATGTCTTAATCTCCTCAGGCTATAAGATACTGACTCACAAAATTATGCTGTTTTCCTGAGCAATTTAAATCTTCCACAAATCAGTACTAAGCTTTCACAGGTTCTTACTTTTCCCTGTTATTTTAGACACATATGTAAAAAAATTGTTTTGTTCAGATTTCTTATGGTTGTGCCATCTGCAGTGCAACAGCAGTTCTATGTACGTCGCAGTTGGTCTCTGTTTCTGTATTTTATATGTTTCACAGACACTCAGGGCAGCCCGTCCAAAAGACTCCTTGCCCCCCAAATGTTATTTAAAATACTAAACTACTGCTATACAAGCTAAAGGGCAGCACCTAGTATTGCTGTTTTTGTGGTTCGTTTTGGTGTATTTGGGTGTGGTGTGTACATATGTGGTGGAATATGAACTCCAGAACAAGAAGAGAGATGGGGATATTTGTATATGAATATCTCTCCCCCCCACAAGTGCAGATAACGAGGGTTCTGGCCCCCTGGGGCCAGACCGACCAACCCCGATTCTTTCTGCCACTGCCACGAGCACCGCAGAGCCTTCCTACTGCTCTGTTGCTCATGACAGATTATCCAGCCCTGGAAAAAGGCGAGATGATGAGCCGCAGCGGCGATGAAATCGTGAGTGGCCAGTCTGGCCCCAGGGGCCCGGACCCTCGTTATCTGCACCTGGGGGCATATATTCGTATTCAAATATCCCCATCTCTAAACAACAGTAAGCAGCCAGAGGAATTGAAAGCTAAAGTAAATTGGAGGATATATTCAGATTTCATTCTTTGGCACTGCCTTTCTTTGGGATAATGATTAATGAGTAATGATTAGTGGCACTCATTTTCAATATCTTCAACACTAGGACAATCGCATCACAAATTCTTTTGAAAAATTAGTGCCTAAGGTACAATGGCTAAGGATACTACTCAATATTTCTCCAGCAGCTTAGCGCTTACAGGAAAAAATACGATTTTCTGGAAATGGATGTAGCAGCTGACAGCACCCGTAGTTAAATGGGGTTCAATTATATAGTCCCTTAGCAAATAATACAAAATAAAATCATTGTCTAAGAAGATCTATCAATGAGAACTAACAATATAATAAAAATGAGGCCATGGTTGGCCTGCAGCATCAGAGAAAGTTTGTAGTTTCCTCCTTAGAACCGTTGACTCCACTGCATTCCTCAGAATTCAAAATTGTGGCTAGAAATAAAACTCAGAAGAAAGCAATCTTCCCACAGGTTTAACTTTCACTTCCCTAGACTTTCACGGTCAAGCCACTGGACGTCCAGTGGACAGTGAGAAATGGTAACTAAAACTTTGAGCTTAAAACGGGAGGCTAAATTTATCCTGTGGAGATTCAGTCATCTTTCAAAGCCTCAGGTAAAATTGAAAGCTTGGAACAAAATGAGCCTCCTGACTTCTCTTTCAACAAGATCAACCCTCTCAGAAAGCTTACTCAGTTTGAGCAATGTGGGGTGTTTGTGTGTGTGTGTGCGCGCGCGCACACGCCTGTGCAAGGAAATGGTTTCTGTTCCGACACTAAGATACTAAACTATTTGTTTTCGTTGAAAGGCTAGCTCCAGTCTTGTGACTCGTTATTTACTATTCTGGTAACCGTGGCTGCATCTGCAACTGATAGTGTTTCCTCCGAGAGAGATCAGATTCCACTGGCTGCCAGCCAGGAGGCATGTGACTGCAGCAAAGGGAACCCTCCAAGCCAGACGGGGAAGTAACTGCACAGAGCGCTAGGGCGAGGATTAACCGCTTGCAGCTCGGCCAAGGGGAGGGTAAACGCCCGCCTTTCGTTTCTTGCCTGCAGTCTCTCCATATACAAAATGACAACACATACATTATTTCCCCTTCCCCACTTTTCTAAGGGCACCATGATGTTACTGTTGCCAATTATTCAAGGTCTGAAACAAGCCCTGTGTTTTAAGCAGAAAGAAACACACCGGTTCAGGGTTCTTAAACCTCCCTTATATCTTTATCACATCAGGAACTGAATGAACTCAGGGAAATGTTAATGCCAAAGAGAGAGAGAAGAAAAATAAACAAAGAAGTGCATCACCAAAAAGGAGGAGAAAAGAGGATTTGTATAAAATCTGTATGTGTTAGCTTATATGTGTAGCTATTAATACACGAACTAGTGTAGTGTCCATTCAGATTTACCCACATAGGGTGGGGAATGTGGTGCTTTACACTGTCCCCGAGTTCAAATCTGATTGAAATATGTTATTCCTGATTAATAAGATGCAAAACAAAATCAAAGTCCCTGACTGAGGCAATTAGGAGGCCTGATATACACACCTCGGCAATGACTAATAAACATTTTCCCTTTCTATAGCAACCCCTGGCATTTTCAAGTAACAGATCTATAGGTGGTTTCAGTTCATCTATTGGTCTGATTGAATTGTGGCAACTGCATGTATATGGGTTTGGAAAGAAGGTGCTGGGCCAAACACCCATATCTGACTCCCATCTTTCACACAGGTCTTGGAATTGTGACCAATGTACAGTATTACCAGCTACCATGGCTATGAAGGCAGGTACAACAATATTCAGTGTTGCATGGTTTATATTCAGTGGTGTCTATTTGCAAATACCTGCAGAGCAGATTCCCCCTTGTCCTGCAGCTCTTGCACTGCCCCCCCCCCAAATTTCCCCCCAAAGAGTTGCACAAGCTTCTGGTGATTTTTGTAGTCCATGTAGGAAAGGAAGGAGGGAAGGTTTCATTCCTAAAATCCTTGGTTAACGCATGGCCTTTGGCAACTCTTTTAACACATGTCTCCAAAACATTTTGCTTCCCATCATTCTCTTCCAACTAATGACCCAACTGGAACACATTTACAGAGCTGTACTGAAACAAGTTTTTACTGACATAAGGGTATTTTCTCACAGATGGAGCAGGACTGGAGTCCCACTCCCAACGAAAAAACAGCTATTTGGAGAGTGGATGATTTAAAGGGATGGTGTGTTGATTTAATGAATAATCTCATTTTCCCCTCCCAACTGACTGGGATTTATTTTCACCTCAGAAACATCTTCCTCCTTACTTTAAAAAAAATCCTAGTTTATTTTGTAAGGAAAGAAAACCCTTCAATAACCTTCATCCCCACCACACACTTTTGGCACTGCTTTAAAAAAAGTTGCTGAAAAATACAGAGGTGCCTTGCTAAGCAAGACAATGGGTCACATTGTACAATTGATTTTAAAAAAAACAACAACAGATCTCTGTTGAGGCACCAATGCATTATGTTCCATCAACCTGTACACAAGGAATGCAAGGGGTTAGCAAGTTTTTTCTTCTGTTCTGTTTGCAATAATTCCTCCTAATTCTGCACATTTTCCTCCCTGAAATGAATGCCATGCAGACGTTGTTAAGAGACATACGGTAATCAGCATTAATGCACTCAGTTGGCCCTCAGGGACATGAGGGCAACCAAACACCTATGTAAACAAAGTTCCTTGTTTTATAGAGCACACTGCAATGCAGCAGAAACCTCCAGGGGCATCTTGAGGTCTAACTGTTTAATACGTTTTGTGGCTTTAACAAAGAAATTAAACATATTTTGTGTGCTTCTAACTAACAGATGACAAAATAACATCCCACATTGCACAAAAAGAAAGTTGCTATGTTAAAATATTAATTATGTAAACTTTATATCTTCTGTGTTAGAAATTTCTGCATTCAAACATCTTGGGGAAAAATGTATTTCTAAAAATTGAGAAGTAGCAACAGTTTTCAGCAGGATAAGTGAAATTTCTGCATGTTTGTCAAGGGAATAATTACATACTGTCCAACACCACAGCCTGGGAAATATACTATTTTTTTGTACAGTAACTCCTAGAATCCTAGACGTAACCCTCCTACTTTATGTAAACCTGGAAATGTATCAGAAAAACAGCAAGCAAGAGAACAAGGAAGCAAGTGAAAGCAAATTATGCAATCAGCATGCCATGGACACATCCACATTTTTATAATGTGTTCAAATATTTAAGTCATCTCTCAATCATATGCCATAAAATTGGGTAGTTTTTGTCCTATCTCAACATCTTCGCTCCCGCTGTTCCTATTACTGTGGCAGAAACTTGCTTCTCTGGATGTGGCACAAAAGGAACACAACCATGCCCGAATTGGTTATGGAACAGAAGAAAGGAGGAGAGACAATCAGGGATGGAGTGAGTACTGTACTGTTCCTTGCACAGGGGATTAGTAAGGCCTGCTCCCTGCCAAATCACAGCTGCAAAGTTTTCCAAACTGACAGCTGTTTGCCTTGACTACACTTGCCTGAAGGGTAGCAAACCTGATAATCAGTATAACGCTCTACAGGAAAGCACCTTCTCACCTTCAAGTCTTTCCTCTCTGAATCCTGAGAACAACAGGCACGCCATACAGTTGTTTCTTGCAGCATTCATAAAGTTGTACCAAAAAAGGGGGAAAGCACTCGCATGTCTCTAGACCTCAACTTGGTAAAGTTGCTATGGGGGGTGGGGTGGGGGGTGGAAATACACGTGCAAACATTTTCCATGGCCAGCACTGCTAAGTTGTACCAAAAAAGGGGGAAAGCACTCACATGTGGGGGGTGGAAATACACGTGCACACATTTTCCATGGCCAGCACTGCCCTTACTGATTGAGGGATTCTGGGACTTACAGTCCAAAAAGTAACCTATGCGGATGAAACAGGAGCCCAAATCCATCCTATGTTCACCCCTCATACTTTTCAAGTACTTATATTTTACTACAGGAGAATGCTATAGAATAAGTCCGTCATATCACACTATCAACCAAACCCATGAAAATCAGTGTCGTAAATTATGTTAATAACACACAGCAGAGATGTGAACAAGCTGCAGCTGCCGCTGCAAGCAGACTTCTGGTGTGGCCTTCTGTGTCTAACAGCTAACTGGCTCTACTTGGTAAAGTTGAAATAACTGGAATATCTCTAAGGACTAGGCACTACAAGCTGCTTGTACTTTCTCAAAGTGCAAATCTATGCAGGTCTCAAGAAAGAAGCATACAGACAAGCAGTTCCTCCCATCTACTCTCTCATTAATGAAGCTTCTGCTCATCTGTTACATTTGCATACCATCTTTTCCTGTAGGCCAAACAGGGACAGATGCAACTATCATCTAGTAGAGAGCTTCTCAGCTGAGCAAGGACTTGAATTTTCGTAGTTCCCCATTCAGGCTCAATGTTTTAGCCTCTTATTTAGAGTCTGAAAAGTTACGTTTTTGAACCATAATTACCTATGCAGGGTGAGGAACGCTGGCACTTGCTAGTCAAGAAAATTAACTTTTCCAACCTGTACCTCTGCTCAACATTGGTTCTATTACTGCCCTGCAATAAACAATGATTCTCAGTTGAGGGGTAAAGGCCTACACTGAAGGTTTATTTACAGATTTAGAAACTGTATGTGGGTTTCCAAAGGACGCCTTTCAGTCCTTGGCAATAGCATGAATAGGTCTGGAAACGAACTTACCTGAATTCATTCAAGGCATCTACAATCCTGTTATATGCCAAACTCCGCTGGCTGGCATCAGCTGATCGACGACTCATTTTCATAGCCTTGAAAAGAGCAGTTAAACATATGACGGTGGGGCACAGCAACAGATAATGAAAAGCAAAATCAAGTCATGTGCTAAATGAGTTGTCAGGTGCACATGGACAAGCAAACAGGATTTTTTTTTTTTTTTGGTCTTCTGGTACCATGATAAACATTGGCCTCCTGCCAACTTTCCTATCAAGGTAGAGATACGTGAAGCACATGTATCTCTGCATTGTGTTTCCTTGCCACATGTTTGCTTGCAGAAAGTTATAAACAGGTCCAAAGTTCACCACCCTGATTCCTTGCCTAGAGAAGCATTAAACAATGCCTTGAATTAAGCTGCTTGCACCCAGCTTCATTGTTTCAGTGATCGTAATTGTTCCATAAGTACGGGGTAAAGCTCACGTCAAAGTGAAGAAACAATCCTCAGATAAATCACAAACTCTGTTTTCACCTTAGTGGTTCCCTTGAAACTAGGGGCTGGGACCTGATTTACTGGGTAACATTTCACATGACACAGGACAGGATGGAGATCCTTTGACCCATTCTCATGTTTTGGAGTTCAACTTTCAGAAGCCAACCAGCATGGTCAATGGTAAAGTATTATGAAAACTTGAAATCCAGAAAAGATCGGGAGAGACAAAAGTTTCCCTGCTTCTTGTGTGGGAGCATATGAAGCCTTCCTTCCTATGAACAGCATCTTGCCTAACGCTGGCTCTTCAAGCCATTCTGTGCACAGCTGAGAGAGATCCAAAGCGCAGCCTTCCAGACGTTGCTGGATTGCAACTCCCATCAGCCCTAGTCAGCACAGCCGGTGGTGACAAATACTGGGAGATGCAGTCCAACAAGAGTTGTAGAATAGCATTTTGCCCACCTCAATGTGCAGCAGTCTGCACAAACTTCTCCCTTGTATTTTGCAAAGAAAGCTTTGCAAGAATCAGTCACAAGTGTAATTCAATTCATCAAAAGAAAAAAAAACCCTATGGTTTATGAATGTGGGATACTGTTCTTCTGTATCCACAATTCAAAAGGCTTGGAAATAGCCCAATATTGCTACACAATATTGTGCCTGCATTGCCAGCAGGATAACCAAAGGCAGCTTGAAGGTTGAAAACACCAAGGGGAGCTTTGCAAGAATCAGTCACAAGTGTAATTCAATTCATCAAAAGAAAAAAAAACCCTATGGTTTATGAATGTGGGATACTGTTCTTCTGTATCCACAATTCAAAAGGCTTGGAAATAGCCCAATATTGCTACACAATATTGTGCCTGCATTGCCAGCAGGATAACCAAAGTCAGCTTGAAGTTTGAAAACACCAAGGGGAGCAGTCAAGATAGTCTACAGCAGTGGTTCCCCACCTTGGGTAACTCAGATGTTCTTGGACTGCAACTCCCAGAAACTCTGGCCAGCACAGCTGGTAGTGAAGGCTTTTGGGAGAAACACCTGGGACACCTAAGGGTGGGAACCACAGGTCTACAAAATATCCTCTTGTGTTCACTACCATTCACAAAAAGAAACAAAGCAAGAGAAAATACCAGAAGCTAACTCCTTTGTTTTCATAAGTTAACCACTTCTCACCCAAACACAAAGCAATTGTCAGGACTGTTTTTCTATCAGTGTGAACATGAAGTTCTTCTCAATGTTGCTGAGGGAGGGGCAGTAGGAAAAAAACTTAACACGAGATACTATTGGTTTGCAAGATCTGAGCAGAGTTGTTAATGGCAGGTCATTTGGGAGGTCATTAAGTCCTACAGTCAACACATATCAGAAGTGTCTTGATATCACATAAAAAAAACTTCCAAAGATGCTAATTACCAGACAACTGGTAAGAGCAATGGTTGAGACTATGACAGGATATAGGCCCCAAAGCTCTGTTAACATCCAGCCACACAGCAAAAGCCAGCAACTTCCCAGTTTAAATGAATGAGCTTCTCTATTCTTTTTAAAATATCTTTTAAAATATTTTTATAACCAGACACAGAATTCTTTTGCCAGCACTTCTTGTTTGGCCAGGAAAGAGTTAAAATGTTGTCAGATAATAGGGTCCTCACTGACAGGGTCGAAAGTTCAGATTGCCAAACCTGGAGCTGATTTTCCATTTGAAGACTTGTGTCAGGAGCCTGGTCTCAGCAATCCTGAGAGAATGTTTACTGAAAGTACTCCAGGCTTGGACTAACACAACTGTTCTGTTTTTTGTACTGCAAAAATATTCTGAATATGCGTTTACATAATTGTATGCTAATTCTCTGGAAATACATGGCAAAATGTCCCCCTTTCTGGAAGGCAGTCATTACATAACTTCTTAGTTATTACATATCATACAGTCATTACATATCATCTTAGAGATAAACTAAACATGATGCTAATTGTGCAAGTGTCAATTTTAGTCAGCCATGGGTAAGTCTGAACAGCTATGAGACCTTGGCGATAGAAGTGTGGAGAGTTTGACTCTGCCTTTCCCTGCCACTGCTTTAGAACAAGAGATTACATGAGCTTACAAAGACAAGGGCAGCCAGACCTATTAGTCTACTTAGCTCAGTGCTGTCTGCTCTGACTGGCAGCAGATCTGCAAGACTGTAGTCAGGGGACTTCCCCCCACCCCTTGCTACTTGGAGATGGTAGGGGCTAAACCTGTGCAGATAAAGGATGTGCTATGTTACTGAGCTGTAAGAATGGCAGGTCCTTTCCATCATCAGTATCGCTGAGCGATGTGCATGTACTCACCCCAATGCATCTAGTGATTGGCATAGCCCTAATGTGAACAATTAATCTGGCAAAACCATATTTATTTATTACATTTATCAGTTATATCTCTCTCACTCACTTTCCTCCAGTGAACACAACATGTGCCACAGGATAAAATGGGAATTCTGAATACAGTGGGGTCTTGACTTGAGAACTTAATCCGTATTGGAAGGCGGTTCTCAAGTCAAAAAGTCTGTAGGTCAAGTCTCCATTGACCTACAGTGCATTGAAAACCGATTAATCCCGTAACAGGCCGTTTTTGTTCCATTTTGGTTTTTTTCTGGTCTGTAAGTCAATTCTCAGGCTGCAAGTCAAACCTAAATTTTGCGGCCAGAGAAGCCGGTAACTCAAAAAGTCTGTAAGTCAAGCCGACTGTAAGTCAAGGGTCCATTGTATAGTAAGAAGAACAAACAGATTATCAGTGGAAATATTCACCTGTTCTATTGCACTCTTCAATTTGTTCATATGGCTCTCAAAAAGAGGGAAGTGTGAGAAAAAGAACTCATTAAATTTGCTGTTTTCTTCCTCATCCTTCGAGAGTGAGAATATCACTCCAATGGCAATTTTCTTTTTCCTGACGATTCCTGGGTTTGGGCTGGAGTTGTCATCAGACAAATTGAAGCTTTCTTCCACTGACCTTTAAGAGAATCAAAAGGTTGCACAGTAAGTTAAATTCCAAAAGAATAATTCCCTTGCATGAGGGTTTTTTTGTACTAGGTATAAAAGAATAATTTCTGCTTCAGCTGATAATCGAATTTATTCAAAGTGGAAGTATATGGCATGTTAGGATTTGAGGAGATTGTTCTAACTGCTTTGCATTTGTCAACTGAGTTTGAGCAAGTAGCTCTCTTTCTTATATAATGTGACCATATTAAAACATTGATCAATTGACTCTATAACCAATATTCAAATTTCAGAGAATGGAAACACATATACTATCTCTCTAACTCTGTTTCGACTGATTCAGAATTCAGTTTTTTTTCCTTTCACTGTCATAGACCATGATCACAGTCCATGCCATACATGACAAAAAGAAATGGTTTGTAGGACAGAAGGTTTGAAATGGATTGAAAAGAGAAAACTCCAGTGAACAGAAAAGAGAAATAATGCAGTGTCAACTGGAAGAGATAAAGCAGAGAAGAGAAAACTGAAATGGGCTAGATATATTTAAATGTTTCACTCTCCCACTTCTAACAGGCCTATAACAAAGTGTGAAATGTTAGATAAGATTACGACAAAACTTTATGTATTAATTCCCAAACCCTAAAATATTTCCACGATGGATAACATATAAAGATGTTCTGGCACAACATTCAGGAAAAACAGCAAAATGCTGGCATCCTTACCTATACAAATTTTGCACAGTAATTTAAACAACACTGTCCATCAGCTCTAACTCACCACCTAGGGAAGACTCCATTCTCCAGGCTTGTTGTCTGACTGCGACGCCAGCGCCGTTGGTAACTGCTAGCACAGCTTCTGTTTAGCGAAGAGCCCGGAGAGGGAAATGGAGTAATAAGCAAGCTGCTGAGAGAGGCTATGAATGAAATCAAGAAGAAGAAGAAGAAGAAAATATGGTAAGTATTTTGTGAAAAACAAAACCACCGTATCTTTAAATAATGTAAACAGTGTAGCTCAGCAGACAGAACATCAGTCTTCTGCCTCAGCTGAATTCTTCCTCACCTGGAAGAGAGTTATCTGTAAGTAGCAGCTAGTTATTTGAACTTATATGTTTGTCCAGAAGATTTGCTAAATCCAAATTATGTTGCAAATACTAGAACTCCAATCCAAACCTATTTTGCACCAACTAAAATGGTGGGCATGGGAAACATGATTCAAAACCCCAACAAGTGAACTAGATTATTAAGGGACCACGCCAATAAAGTGTATGCAGGTGAGCACGAAATATCCTGGGTGCTAGACATGGGGCTTCCTCTGCACTATCCATTTTTACACAGGGCTGCAAATGCAAGAGCAGTCAGCACGTGGACATTTGCTTCTATGCATTGGTCATCATGGTGCGTCAGCATCTATACAACTGAAATACAATAGTAGGAATTCTCTGGTTTGTGGCAATGTGCACTTTCTTTCACCCTTGGTCTAGCGTATATTAAAATTTTCAGAATTAACAAAACAGTTATGAGAATGGTTGTAAGGTTGACCAAAATATGTATTAGTCAGTGTCCAGCTGGTGTTTGTGTAAAAACTGTGTAACTAGCCATGGCTCCTTACACTATTAATGTATTTATAACACTAACAGTGACATTTATTGAAGGGAAGTCTCATACTAAGGACTTCCAACAGGAGAAATGAGTAAAAATTCAAATACAATAATTAATAAATAGCATTAAATTCACATCTTGTGTGTGTTCATGCCTAATCAATATATTACCTGATCTTGCAATTCCACTATCTCGGTCTTCATTCAACTCCCTCCCTGGCATGTCCATCGGATTGCTGTGAACTACATAGATAAGGTCACCAGTTAGTCTGAGAATATGAAACTTCTCTATGGATCCACAGTGCTCCACTTAATTATCCAAACAAATCATGCTCATTGGTTGCATTCATTTAAGGCTGAAAATTAACAGATAGTGCACACACACCCATCACCAAGAAAGGCTGCAAAGCTGATCAAGCCAGAAAACATGTTGCTTGTAGGAAAGCCCAGACAGTGTTTGCTGAAGCCCACACTTCATTTCAAGGAAAATGAAATAATGGAACAAACATAGAGTTAGCAGTGAAGCAAGAGCACTCAGTGCAAACTAGAAGCAGATAGTAAAGGAATGTATAGCAAATAACTATACAGTGAGTGGTCTAAGGCATATGGGATTTGGATTCAAGACCTTGATTGCTTCTTCAAACTACACATGAAGCTATCTGCATTGCAGCCAGTTCTTACTAAACGCAGAGGTGAAATGCTACCACTAGGTTAGGATTTCACCCATCAGATCAAAAGCCTCTTGATCATAATTATTTTAGAAGTCATACATTTGCCAGATCCATGGGAAAAAGAAGAATCTATAGCAGCCATGAAAATAAAACTCAGTTAATGGAAGACAAACAAACAAAAAGGCAATTTACTTCAGATTTATTAGAATAGTGAAATTTGTTTAAATGGAATTCATATAAAACAAGACTCATAATGGCAAAGTTCCATCGTGAGGAATTTACAAATCCCATACAAATGAGCTCCTCAGAGGAAATGAGGAACAGAGATTATGGTTATTTAGAATTCCAACATATTATCTGAATCTTTCTTGTACACCATCCCATTGTCTAATTTGATGTCTCAAATGGTGGTGGTGGTTTGTTTTGGTTTTTTAACCATATTTTATTTCCAAGGCCACACTACAAAATCCACTCAGCTTCTTCACACCAACTAAACTACCCACACAGCACATAGCAAACCTGCAAAGAAAGAGGCGCTCCGGATCAGGCGGAGCGGACCTTGTTCAGAGAATGCCCGCCTAGGGCTGCAAAGCTGTGAAAAACCTACATGGCAAAACGTAAAATACATATGAAAGAATGAGGTTAGTAAAGCAGAACAGATTCTGGGGAAGGGGAGAGAAGGGAGGTAAAAGCAAACACAAAACGCGGACCCACAAACATAGTATAACCCACAGATTTTACACCCAGATAAAGGAATTCAAGCCATACAGCCCGTAGTGGAAACATAGTTCTTTTCAAGTTGAAATGCGTGTGATAAAAAAAAACCCAGTATGTATCTAATTTTTAGGAAGTCTTACTCTTAACTTGCAAAATACAATGTGCAAACAAGAAAAATTTCAAGTTACTTCTGAAAGAATCCTTTACCTTCTTTAGCTGAAATAAATTTGTTCTCCCCTCCCCCGTTCATCATCAAAACCTGCTACAAAGGGCTGGGCAATCTTCTGGACTTGTTTCTGGGCAGCTTGTTGGGAAAGCAGAAGGATGGTCGGCTCTGCCAGTATTACAGGCTCTGCAATGTTGGGGTTAGCTCACTGTTGCTCAGCTCCGTTTGGCTCTGTCCCCACACCAGTCATGGTTAAAGAAGAGCACACACACCACACCAGTGGAAATAAGGCACACAGTAACAATATTTATGGCACGTCCCATTCCCAACAACCACTTCAGAGTAGTGGTTCCCAACTTCTAGGTCCCCAGATGTTCTTGTTCAGACTACAACTCCCAGCAGTCCTGGTCAGTACAGCTAGTGGTGAGGACTTCTGGAAGTCTTTTCGTCAAAGAGCGTCTGACAAGCCCTGCTTCAGAGGGGAAAAAAACCACCTTCCCTTTTCCTCCAAAGCGCCCATTAACCCAAACTTCTCCAAGTGAGGAGTAGATTGCACTCTTACCTCCTCAGATGGATGAGCTGCAGAAGGAAACTGAATAAAAGGTATCTTTTACTACCTCTTCTCCTTTTTAGGATATTCCTTGATGATATTTACATATACTGATGCTAAATGTCTTAACATTTTCATAGCAGCAGATGGAGTTTTGCATTCTATGTTGCATTTGTGACTCTAACCCCATACTAACAAAAACTCCTCCTTCTGTGCCCCACCCTGAGAATTAAAACTTCAGGTGCAAATTAAAGGAAAGAGGAACACATCTGTGCTTTCTTTGCTAATTGGAGAAATGGGACCTGAATCAGCTATTTGTGGTGCTCAGCTTTTAATTAACAGCAACACTGAAAACAAGTATGCTTGGACCTGATCTCCCTGGGACCTCCAACTCTGAGTATCAATTTTTAACATTCAAAAAGCTCTACTGTCACAAAAGTTGGTTTCTTCTGTTTACTGTTAATCCGTTGTCTTAAAAGGAAGGGAAGCATAAGCACTACCTGTTCCACCAAACAGTGTGTGGGCTGGAAAACCTTCCCTAGCACATGGCATCCCACTAAAGCACACAGTAACCTTTTAAAATCAAGAGCTGGCAAGGATCTATGGGTCACAAGCATTCTTTTTATTTAATTTAGTTTCTAGAAATGTTCTGGTTACAGATTAACTCCTTTTCTGTTCTCTTTCCTCTGTTTGGAAACATGACTTGGAAAGAAGTATAAAGGAACTGACCATAACTTTGGTGCAGGCTTATTACACATGTTATTATTATCTCTTGTCCTGAAATATTTACCCTCAGCCTTATCATGCCTCACTGAAATCATAATACAACACTCACACTTATCTGTCACAGAAAATACCAAATGAGGTAAAGAGAGTACAAGAGAAATTGTTTCTAGGCTTCCAGACGTGAAAACCAAGGGGCTATTAACTTCATTTAAAGAAGATTCTAGTAATGATTGGCCGGGAGCCTCTGGAGCAGGATAGGAGGCACTTAAGCTCTTCCCCCCCCCCCCCCCCCCCCGGTCATGAGCCACCCCTTGCTCAAAAATACTTGGAGTAGACACATTTTCTGATAGGACCATTAATCAGTACACTTTGATTATAAGCTGAGACATGTAATTCGTTTGGCTGTTTTGTGATAAAAAATATAGTTCACCAGTCACTTCCATTTACAATACAAACCTAATGTCAGTCACACCAGAAACCAGTAGAGGAAACAAGGATTTGTAAAAGCCACACTCCCCTTAAGCTGGTATGAGCAACCAAATACCACTCACACAGCCATACTAGTGGTCTGTGCTACTTCCTCACATATGTTATTGTCACAAATATCGAATAGATACATTCTGAAACTGTAAGGACAAGCTATCACAATACATCCAAACATAGGGAGGAAACCACTGGTGCGTAGGACCTTAACAGGTAGAACCTAACATTTCTCTCTTAGTCTACATCTTTCACAATTCCCCAGCGAGCATGCTCGTCCTGGCTGGCTGGATTCTCAAAGCTCTCATCCAAAAGCAATGCATTTCTACATTCTGGTCTTTAACGTGTCCTTGCTTACATGACTGTCACTTCAGAACTAGGAAGCTACTTTATGCTTTTGACTTCAAACCAAAGGCTTCTGGCACATTTTAAAACTTGCCAGTAAACCAGGATATGGAAAACTGGAAATGGAAGAAGTTACCCAAAGCTTTCCTTGAGGTCAGTTCTAAAAGAGCCAGCATGTGGCAGGTAAGGCTGTCTGAAAACAGCTTCAAGAAGTGATTCATGAAATCTACAATGAACTGAAGAACTGCCCTGAATACCAAATGCCAATGGCATAGCTACCAACCTTCCACATTACTTAATTTGAGACACACAAGAGAGTAATAAATACTACAGTGTGCCACAAACGGGAGGAAATCACTTCAGTTCTATATTCTTGATTTTTGGCTCCCTATTAGAAACCAATTTGTTCCTGAAAGCTGAGTGAAATTAAATAAATTGCTTAAAAGGGCATTTGGGCACCGGGTTTATTTAAGTGTACAGAGCAGTCTCACCAGTGTGCCGCACAGCTCCTTCTAGATCGATCTTTTACCCAGCCATTACAAATCCAGACACACAATTCCAACTGGTAGACCACTAATTAAATAAACTACAGGTTCTGAAATAATTCTGCTCAAACAGATGGCACTGAAAGCAGAAAACATAAATGATACTGCTTATGGGAAAGGCAACTGTTTTTGATAAGATAATCGTATTGTTCTATCGCCTGGCAAGGTGTGATTATGTAAGATTAATTAGGCTGCTAGGGAAACACCTGCATGGATAAGGGCACCTAATTGCAGAAAAAAAAGCCAACAGTGAAAATAATCATGATTAATAAAGCTCCTTCTTCACATTCATTAAGTAATACTTAAAAATAATTGGTAACAAAAATTGCAGGCTGAAATCTGTGCGTAAAAAGGGACTTTCTCATCTACAATGCAGACTTAACCATTGTTGCAGAAGATTCCTGGGCCTGGAAGAGCAAACAGCTGCCAGAGGAGGCTGCAGTGTGTTAGGGGAGCCAAGAAAGCTCTGAGGTGCCAAGCCCCTGCATCCAAGCCCTGCAATACCACAAAGAACCAGGCCAGTCTCGCTGCCTGAAAGCAACTGAACCAGCACAACTGAACGAAAGAACAACACGAGTAACAGGACTTCAATGTGATGTCTGTTCTCTCCCTTAAAAGGGGATACACTCCAAAAGTGCCATCATGGTAAATTTGGAAGTCATCCTGAGAGCCTCATGGCACAGCAGTTAAACTGCAATACTTCACTCAAGCCTCTGCCCATGACTCGAGTTCAATCCTAACAGGATGCAGGTAGCTGGCTCAAGGAAGACTCAGCCATTCATCCTTCTGAGGTCAGCAAATTGAATACTCAGTTCACTGGGGCGGGGGGGGGCAAGTTGTTGTTTGCATAATTATGTTGTAAACTGCCCAAAGGATGCTCTAAGCACTATGGGGTGGTATATACATAAGTTGAAAAAACATGACAGTTGTCATCACCAGCCCCTTCCCAAACAAGGATAGTATCAAAACGCAGGCATTAGGGTGAGTTCATATCAGCAATTAGGACCACATCTTTTGTAATGTTACAGGCTCTTAATTGCTCAGTCAACAACAAACCACACTTGCAATAATATACTCTTCCCAAGAAAAGCCACTTCTGACCCTGCTACTGTGAGGATCACAACTACGTTTAGAGGGCAAAGAGAAGCTTGAGGAGGGCGGTGGACAATGTCACAGTCACTGCTACTCAGAGATTCCTCGGGGTTCAAAACTACAAGCTGTGACTTCTCTAGCTTCATTACTAGGGGATCAAATGGCACTCATGACATGGAATGTCTTTTACCATCTGTCAATGCAATATATCAGCAATTCAAATAAACAAATAGATAATAATATTTATTTCCCTTACAGAATTGCTAACTCAAGGCTATGGTTGGAGCTATTAAGGCAGAAGTGGCTTCCCTGAGGCCAACCAGTGAGCTCATGACTGAGGCAGGATTCAGATAGATCTGATCTGCCATCTTATGCATTACAGTTCCTTCCATTAACAGCATGTATTAAGATTCAAGGATACCAAAAGTAGCTCCTAAGTGCAGCCTGACCCAATTTAATCTCAATCAATTTTACACTATGACAAAAATTTGCTCATTCATAAATATGATTCTGTCAACTTCAATGAAGTGTACACTCTGTTAAAGTATAATAATAGCTTTGAAGGCTATTTATCCAATTTAGAAAATTTGTATTCAGATTTAGAAGAACAAGAAGATGACGTAAAATGTAATAACAACAGAATTTCCAGTGTGATTCATATATATTCGGAACAGATAAATCATGTGTGTTACATAAAAGGGCAGGCATTTTTGGATAATTAAAAACCCTGTCCATTTTTAGGTCACTACAGTGGTGCCTCGCTTGACAAGGATAATTCGTTTCATTGAAATTGCCGTTAAGCGAAATCCTCGTCAAGTGAAATGAAAAACCCCACTAAAATGCATTGAAAACTGGTTCAATGCGTTCCAATGAGCTAAATACCTCAGTGTCCAGCGAAGATCCTCCATAGGGCGGCCATTTTCAGTGCCTGTAAAGCGATGAATCCGCCCTAAAGCACAGCAGGGGAGCCATTTTGCACAGCGGGCGGCCATTTTAGAGCCGCCGATCAGCTGTTTTAGAATCATCATCTAGCGAAAAATCGGCTCCCAAAGCTGGGGACCGATCATCGTCAAGCGAAATTTCCCTATCTAAACATCGTTTTGCAATCGCTATTGTGATCACAAAAACCTCATCATAAAGCGGATTCGTCATTTAATGAGGTAATTGTTAAGCGAGGCACCACTGTATTCTATTTGGATTCTTTAAGATAAGGTTTTGATGTCTTTTATACAGCCCTCAACATTTCATATCAAGAAATTGTAACTGCACCACATTTATCTGTAGGGGCTTCTGCCACCACTTTTCCCATATGATTTGAAGGCAAAATACCAGTATTAAAGCAAATAATTCCTCAAGAATCCATATATTTTACACAACTACATTCTTTATTTAACAGTAGTGCCAAGATGCTCCCATGATAAGATGCAGAGCAATTACTTTATTATGTAAATGAAGCCAAACTGCATCTGTAAGTTGATCTCTGCCGTGCTACTTGAGAGCACCCTATTCTTACAATCATCTTCAAAGTCGTGGTGGTGGGGTTCCAACACCAAATCACGTTACTAAATTATGCTGCAGCATCTTCCATGTTCTTCTTCTTCTTCTTTTTTTATGAACTAGACAGCATCTCTAGAGATTCAGCTAATGACTCATGTTTCTGTACCTTTCATGAGCCTCCCCTGCAACATCAAACCTGTCAGGCTATAGTAAGAGCCTGAATGATATTTCACATTTGTGCCAATGAAGACATGACTGTCAGTGCTGGCTTTCTGGCAGGCATTCCTGTCTGTTACACATAGAGGAAAATGTGCTCCTCCCCTGCCTGCCCCACCACCCCGTGTGTAAGCACTCCTTATATTTGTATGGGTACACACAGAAAACTCTTGATGTAAATATTTAAAAACAGAGTGATTAGATACAATATATGAAAATATAACTGCATTTATCAAGACTTAATAAGGTGTGAGGGGAACATCATCCATTTTCAGCATGTTTGATTAGCTTACATTGTTGACCAGACATCATGCTCATAGATATCATTTGGCAACCTGAGCTGCTACCATCAAATTATTTCAAGCCACAAACTAGTCCAGTTTCTGAAATTCATCAACATGAACTGCGTTTTTGTTTAGACCAATAACTGTCAGTCTCAGATCTACACCATTTTCTTTTAAAATGTTATCACACACAGGTGTTTGTCTGTTTCCACCAGTCCCCAGAAGACTTATGGCACAACTATCTCCATAAAGTCAGCCTTTATAATTACCTATGTTTCCAAGGAGTCCGTTCACAATTGTGCTGTGATCTGGCTTCAGAGTATTGCTGTCTTGATTAATGAACTCGAGACTGTCTTGAAGGCTGTGTGGGTTGTGGGAGCAACCAAAAAGAAGATTCAGTCATTTGTGTTCTCATCCAGTGTTGTTTGGCTTTATGCTTGGCTGTGTCCTGCATGCCTGTTGTCCCTCTCTTATGAGGTAGGGGTTTGAACCACACGTTTCAGAGAAAGAGCAGCTAGGTAGCAGAGAACCTTTCCTCCAGCTGCAGCCAAAGCGGCTTGTGGCAAAGTTGATCCCACCCACCTCCTTCCTCACATCCCTAAATCAGAATTTCCAAAATGTATCTTGTGGTAGCTTAAAGGCTAACAAGTTTTGTCTGACGTCTGCTTTTGTGGACTGCAGCCTGCACTGATGAGTCTAAAGTGGAAGGCTGCCCTCCAGGAAAGCTTTTGTCTTTAAAGCATTGGGAAACTTTCTTCCAATTTTGCTGCAACCAACTAACACAGCTAATGGAGTCCCCACTGAGAATCCACAATTTCCAATATACTCACGTGTTTAAACTTCCATAAATGCTGCTTCCAGTTCGAGCTGTAAAAACTTTGCTTAGCATGAGTTGTGGAGGGGAGCTGTCAAAAGGAGAGAGTTCAAGTGAAAAGATATTATGATGCCATGTAACATTCTGATTTCTCTCTGAAGAATAGGCTATTTCAGGTTTACTTCACATATCAACAAGACAATACTGTATTTAGTCAACTGTAAGACTGAGAAGTATAGATGGTGCGTTTGCATATGGTGGTGTTCGCACAGGTGTGAGAGACAAAAAGAGCAGTTATGGTAGATTATAAACATGGTGCAGGCACAGAAACAGTGGCTGCACATCATGCTAAAAAATGGGAAGAAACATACACCACACTTGCCAAAAGTGAGATTCCAGAATTCAGGAAAATACTCAATTGTTCATAATCATGGTGGTGCATAATGCTTAGCTATTTCCTTTTAGCCTCTCCTGTCTATGGAAGCAGCTTCAGAGACCCACAACCAGGAACTCATCAAAAGAAAAATGCTCATTCCCAATGTGGTGCTCTCTGGATGTACTGGGTTACAATTTCTAAAATCTAATCCAACACATTCAAACTTGCCACTTCCTAACAAGCCAGGATTGGAAGTTTGCTTATGATTCCCAGTTTGTCCAGGAGTGACAAGCCAGGAGTTCTGCTTGGATGGAACGTTAAACTGCACACACAATCTGCTGGTAAGGTTCTGGTTGCTGAAACTATATCCACTGGAAAGGAGAGCCATATCAAGAGCAGACTGCATCACTGGCTCATTACCTGTGAAGAAAGAGCCAAGAATTTCCATAATGCTTTGTAATCAGAAGGCACTACACTGAGCATCTCTGTTGGGTGCATAAATGAACATCTGTTGGCCCATGTTTATAGACCTCTACTTGCTATTGATATTACAGTACAAAGGAAAGTCTTACAAGACAGTAAGCAGAAATCCAATCAGCAGAAATGTTCAACCAATATAGAACTGCAGAGGGGGGAAGAAATGGGATTGGGATTGCTACTGATGCCCACAACTTTAGTATACTAATCAGAACATCTGCCCAGATGCCTACATATATACACTGCAAAGAGTACAGATGCTAAATGTGCAGTCTGTACCTAATAAAAATGGAAAGGTACATACTATGATCCAGCAAGCAAAGCCTTTGTCCACACAAGTCCTTTGCTTTACTGTTTGTGCAGGGCTAGAACATGTATGTGTCTCTGACGTTAACAAGGAATAATGAGGGAGAACTATCAGACAGAAGAAAGAAAGAAACCTTACCGAATTTGATGGATCTTTAAGGTTGAGCCCTTGTAGCTCATGGCCACAGAGCCAAACATCATCTCCCCGAGCATGTTTGCATCTGAGGAGCACCGGGAGCCCTGCAAAATATGGCAGTAATTATTACATTGCACTCATTAAGGAACGGTATAAACGGGGGAAAGATCGCTTTGACTTAATAAACCACATTACATAATCAAGAATATCTGAAATACTATCAGCAGGGGAGCACATATATCTATCTGCCAAACCATTTGAACCCTTAATCTCCGCTCTAAATAGTGGTTTGGAATTTATCATTCTGAGGCTGTTGTTTATCAAACTACTAATAATGTTTGTCCAAATGTATTTAATAATGCTTGTCTCACAAACCCTTTGGCAGTAAGCCCACATTTTGACTTTGATAGCACCACAAGCCTGTGGGCTATGGTTTCCATTTGGACATCCTTCTGCCCTTCACCCTAAACAGCTACCCAAGCAGATGGCTTTTGAGGAATGTCCCCCTCCCCTTAAGCATCCTCCCATCCCAACACAGCCTACGGTATCTCGTTTGACAGACAAATTCCCAACAAAATCCCCCAAGTTACTAAAATAAATCTCCTGTAATATATATCCTTTAGACCAGGCTTTCCATACTCAAGCACCGATCAGAAGACTTGGACTACAATCCCCATCGTCCACGCCATTGGTTATGTGAATTGTGAGTCATGGGGCTTACTTTAGAACATGTGGGGACCACCCCACTGGGGGTGGTAGTTCTAGATACATACAGATTTGCTAAACCTGTGAAGAATGTATGCAAAGTAATACTGAATGTATGACAAATGGTCTGCATTCCATTAATTTAATATATTCCATCTGTTTCTAATCATTAATTGGCACTTATGCATTGAAGTACTAGGGCTCAGAATTTCACACCCATTTAACACCTGGCTAATATTACTTGACACTAGGGAAATGTGTCACATCCTATAGAATAACATATACTTTCCTGATTAAGTTGTAGGCATGGGCATGTTCCAATACAAAAAACAGAAAGAATTCGGCCAGCAATGCTTCTGGTAAGGATAAAACAAATCCAGGGGAATTATTTTTACCTAGGTCATTTTGATGTCATAACTGAAATCTGATTTTCAAATATTTGATATCTGTAATTAACATCATGATACAGTATCCGCATTCCACAGCCAAATGCTTCATATTTAGGGGGGCAAAATGCAGATATAAAATGGAATTGCAACAATAGAATTTCCAACACAATTCATTCTTATTTGGAATAGATGGATCATACCTGCCCCCTAACAAGATGAGCATTCTTTTGACAATTAATTTCTTTTTATCAATTTTCAGTCAATGGTTCTATTTGGATCCTTTAAAACAAGATTATGATGTCTTTTAATATAGTTTTGTAATGCATTTGTATTACAAAGCCAAATGCTCAAATTATTCTTGAGAGAAAAAGTTGGAAAAGCATCTAAAGGAGCAAGTGCAACAATGTTGTATGATTTTGTTTATTCTCACTTAGACTGGATAAGCACATATTCAATCCACAATAAAGAATTAGATCTCTAGATTTCTCCGAGTGATTTTGCTCTAGGAAAGCTGGTCATGGAACATGATGGAGGACAGTTGATTGTGAACTTATTTCTAAATCATGTCAAGCTCCTAGTGCAAGAGGTAAATATTGTAGAACGAGTTTGAAAGAGTGGCCATGGGGATATCAAATTCACCACCATGAAGCAGAAAGTCTAATACCAGTCACTCACATTTGACTACAACAGAAGNGGGGGGGGGGGGGAGAAAGACATTATTTAAAAGGAAGAGCTAAAAGGGTCAAAACTGCTCCAAAATGTTTGGAGGTTCTTTTGGGGGGAAAACTTCTTGGACATGAAACCTTGCATTAGGAAAAGGACTACCCCCTCCAAAAGGACAGCAGTGAGATTAAAGAAGCAAAAGGAAGCTGTAAGTCTTCCCCCAGAGAGACAAACAAACAAGAACATAAATGCAACGTAAGTTGTCAGTAAGGCAGGTGAAAAATAATTTGAGAAGTATGTTGCTAAGCATGTTACAACAATTCCACTCCACCACCATCTTTTAAATATTGGGTTAGATCCAGCATGACTCTACTTCAGATTCTTGATCGTTTCTACATCACCTTGCAGGCATTTAATATCATTTGCATCTTCTCTGGACAACTAGAAACCTATATTTGCACCATACCGTGTTCCAATTAACTTTTTAAATGTTTTCGGTGATATTTAAATTATTCAGCAGATGTACTGCATCCTGTACTTTGCATCAGACGTTTCCATTTCTTCCAGAGTCTATTTAATTTTCACCCCCCCAAAGCGCTTTCGAGAAAACAATACCAACAATACGTGCTCAGCCTCTTCAATGTTCCATAGAGAGTACTCCTAGAGGAGGGCTCATCTGTCAAATAAAGCTAACTGCATTGTGGTTTGTGAGTAAACCCTGCACAACATGGGGAGACAAATGAGGCAGCAATTTCAATTCTGGCAGTAGTAACACTGTTTTTGTTGTGTAAGAGGAAGGGAGTTCAAAGGAGCCCATGCCTCTTCCTGTTCAAACCGCCGAGCCATACTCTTCCATGATCAGGAATGAGAGATCAAAATAACTTCATTTTTTGACACATCAGTGTAGCATGAAAGCAACCTCTGTGTATGTGTGTGTGTGCACGCACTATGTGTGTGCGCACGTGTCAGAGAGAGAACAATTAAATGCAGCAACTAATGTATGCTTAGTAAAGCATAGAAAGGTTATGTTACATTTGACATATTAGCATCTTTGAAGCAGTACCCTAAAACAGAGAATTGCTTCACTACAAAGAATATAAAGGCTCAACTCTATTTTAGGGTGGCTTAATAGAAAACACTTGTGATCAGTGCAAGGTGAGATGCCAGAAATACATCCAGTCAGATGACTCCGGCTGCAGTGGTAGCCAAAACCAGTCCTCTTATGTAAAGTGTAACTCAAGTTCATCAAGTGTTCGTGTCATAAACTTTTAATTTGTCAGCAAAAAAAATAGATATAGTTGGATATTTCGCGAAGTGCTTCTTGTGCACTTTTTTTTAAAAAAAAGGAAAATCCCATACCACAAGAACTTAGCAAATACTTAAAACAACCACTTGACCTTTACAGCAATAGCAGCGTTTTTTTGAGATTTCGCAACTGTAGTCAAATTTACTAATGGGATAAAACATTTCCCACCCAAATTCACAAAAACCTGTTCCTATATCTTTGGCATGAAACAATCTTTAAAAAAGTCATGTTCTGCTCTGGTTTTGATTTATTGATTACTCTTGTATCCTGCTTTTTCTCCAGATGAGTTCAATTCAGCCTATATATGTCGACCCTTCCCAGACTGAGAGATTGTGGCTGGCCCACAGTTACCCAAGTCAGAGAAAATCTGTTTTAAATCATTAACATTTCTAATGGAAATACTGAATAACTTGAAGTCTAATCTGCGAAATTCCAGGCATGTAAAACTCCTGTAACATAATTGTGGCAGAAAGGCTGTTAAAGACAGATGGGCCAGTTCTTTGCAACACCAGAATTTGGTGTGATTTACTAGGCAGGGAAGCACATGTCCATAGGCTCAGGTCAAGCTACTGCCTTCTTGACTGCTCAACAGCAAAATCTAGGTGACATATCCCCTCTTTGTAGCTTTCTTTTCCCAGTACAACCCTCTTCTTTCTTATTCTGGTTAGGATCAGTTAAAGGAAAAGACATGTATATGCCATGTATTTTTGATATTTCCAGTCTTGTGAGAGCCTCTTAATAACCCACTAGCCACTATTCTTCAGGATCAACCAAGCCACCTCTAGCAACATTTCTCTTCTGCTGCTGATATTTGAAAGTTTTCCTGTCCCAAGCCCAGACAACATCAGCCATCTGTTTTCTTGGACAATCACCAAAGAATAGCTTCCGGGCTTACTCCCAGCCAAACAGCTCCAGTCACTTCCTAATAAGGTAGTGTTTTCAAACACGAAACCCAATCTACACTGTCAGAAAGTATAATATAAGTGGGGAAAAAGGAACTCTCACCTGAAATTTTGGACATTGCTCTTTTGTTTCAGAGGAAGAAGACGAAGAATTGATCGAACTGTCCAAAGAAGAGGAACTGTCTCCTCCTGGTTTGAGCTGGCAGCATTTTCCAAAGACTTTCACCTGTGCGTCACTGCAGAGTTTCTGTCAAAAAAAAAATGATATGATTGTTGCTCCATATTTACCAATGCAGCACCCATACTAAAACCTGCACCTGGGGTGTAGAGAAGGCAAACAAAAAAGCTTTCTTTTAACACAAGCACTTAAGCAAGGGTGAAAAAAAGAGATCAGAACCTGAGCTCATGGGCAAAGCACGTGTTATTTGGAATATACAGGTAGCAGCTATAACCTGCCTCCTTGCCTTTAGAATTTAGAGTGAAGGTAAAGGCCCTGATCCAGATGAGGATTCCAACACAAGGAAAAGGATTCAAGTCATCTTGTGCTTGAATTCCAGCACAAAGAAGGACCTCTACCCTTCCTCTAGAGATTTCTCTTCTGGTGTTGCTTTTTAAACTGTCACTGCTAAGAGACATGCCTATAAAGCAGGGATAGGAATGTTTGTGGTTTCAAAAACCCATGAACCCTACCACTAACCAATGGTGAGCAATGTTGGGGGTTGCAGCCTGGCAATATCTGGAGAGCCACAAGTTGCCCTCCCCAGTTCTCTCTCTCTCTCTCTCTCTCTCTCTGTGTGTGTGTGTGTGTGTGTGTGTGTGTGTGTGTGTGTGTGCGTGTGTGTAAGTGGGCACTGCTGAGACCCACCGTTGCGAATCACTGCCCTAGAAGTTGTCAAACTGTAACTTTACTATACAGCGTGTGGGGAGATTTTATTTGACAAAATATCTATTTGGATTTCTCCCATCCTTAAAAGACGCCTCTACTGCAGATGTCCCATCAGAATAACAGCTGGGAGACGGAGAGAGATGTCTGCATCCAGCAGCATCTGTGGATAGAGAACATGGCTCTCTCCAGATAGGTGGTTCCTAACCTTGGAGCCCCAGATGTTCTTCGACTAAAACTCTCTGGAAGCCTTCACGACTAGCTGTGCTGGCCAGGATTTCTAGAAACTGTAGTCCGAGACCATCTGGGGACCCACCATTGCGAACCACTGCCTTAGAAGTTGTGAGACTGTAACTTTCATTAACCAAGCCAGCATATTGCTTGATATGATGGAAACTGCAATTCAACAACATATGGAGAGCTACAAATTGCCCGTCACTGACCGTAAAGCGGCTACACAAAGCCAGCTGTAATTCTTTTTGTCCATTCTTTTATGGCTGCAACACAAGAATGTGCGCCTTCTCCTGAGAACAACCTCCCATTATGAGAGGCTGATCATTAGAGGAACAATGCTAAACTCGTGCACTGTTAAAAGTGCAAACAGCCTGATCTTTTTTAAAAAAAACTTTTGGGAATATAATGGCTGAAAACATGTGAATGGCTATCATATGATTTCAGTAGGAACCCGTGAATCACAACTGCATTTTTATCTCTGACAAACGACAGTGTCTTCGGCTAGGCTCGCACAGCATCATGTGATGAAACCACACTAAATCCAGAGGGTTACAACATCTTTCACAGGCAAGTCACACTGCCGCTTTCAGCTAATGTCAAAGGCCTGTTCCGTCCTATGCAGGTTAAGCACATTAAAGGGTTTGTTTTTCTCTTTTGAAGAAAAAGAGTTTCTGCAACAATAAAATATATTCTCTGAACAAGTTCCCCAGCCTTAGCACCAGCTTCATAGCTCTACGCAGAAACTAGAGATAAGCAAGTTTCAGCCCTTTCTTTCTTTCTTTCTTTTACTACCTTGGTAATTCTGGGAGTGATAATCCAAAAAAAAAAAAAAAAAAAAAAAAAAAAAAAAAAAGGTTTGGGAGTCCAAAAACAAACATCTACACACTTATAGAACAAACCATCTTTAAAACTCCCTGCACAGTAGCTTTCTGTGAAGCCACTACTGGACACCACTTCCTGACTGAAATACTTGGGAAGATTATACCTTTGGCCTTTACAGTGGAATGCGATGAGCCTAAGGATCCCATGGCTACACAGAGGTCAAAGGGTCACCATCTTCTGGATGCCACCTGTCAGCAGCTTGCCAGGCAGCAAATTACCCACCAAATGCAACACTCAGACAAACCTTAGGACATGCAATTTTTAGAACCATGCAGATGTTCAAGAACAACCCGCTGGACACCTAGATTAAGTATCTGAGGTGTCTCCTATTGAGGGTTTTCTACTTGAATGTCAGTGAAATACAAGATGCAAGAAACGGCCAAATGTTATGCAACTACGTAAGGGGAACTGTCTGTCTTGTGTTCCAAGCGGAGTTTATCAAGCCACGTTACCAAAATCAAATGAGGTTACTGAAGACATAGTACATGCATAAGAAGCCTGGGATTGCTGTCCCTGAGAAGTATCTGTAAGTGCAGTAAATCAACACAGCAGGCTATCACCATCTGCTGTGCCCATCGAAGCCAGCAACAAAAGGTAAGAGTGGAACTGTATCTTAGAGTAGCTTCAAATGAAGCAGACGCTATTATTAATACTAACAATAATTTGGCAGTCAATGCAACACCATTCTTGTAACTTACATTATAACACCTAGGTGCATGAAACATATAGCACAACGTAAAGCTATGCCATGTGAAAACCAGTGTTGGGTGGTAATGGATAAAGTGTCAGAACAGGACTATGGGACTTGGCTTCAAATGTCTGCACATCTTGAACATCTCACATAACTTGAAAACTAGACTAGATTCACTACAAATCAAAAATGACCTGACAACACCAAACAGCAATTCTATGATGATCCACAGGTAGCTTTAATTTATTCCATGACCATTATTAATGACAGAAGTTACAAAAGTAAGCACAGTCAACTATACTGTTTTGAAAGTGGCCTTCCCATTTTCTTGCTTTCAATTCTCCGTGGCTGCAACATAACGCTTCCATTTACTTTATTACACAAAAATAAGGAGATGCACATGCAGGCTACATACATGTAACATGCAGCACACCCACTGCACTGAACACAGTCACTTTTAGATGGGTTTGTATGTGTGTGTACAGAGGAAATTACGTGAATGAGTAAAATGACATGTGCACACGAACTCCTCTCTACTATAACTGCAGCTGAGGCAACTGTTTAAAGATTACTTCAGAGCTGACGAGAAATTAAATGGGTTGGAACAGCATCAGTTCAATCCAGTTCACTGCAGGCACGGAGGCTATGCGTGAGGGAAACTCCACTGAGAATAACAGAGGCCTGCTTATCCCCCACCCCCCTGCCCTCCTGGCTCACACATACAGACGTTGCCCTATATTCTTTCACTGCCCTATATTCCTTGACTAAGACAGGCAAGTTGCTGATGAACAGCCTCCCAAAACAGATTCTACGGGCCCACAAATGCTTATTTTAAACCCGTTTTAATGAGATCAAAAGGCAAGAGTTTAAATGTCTATCAAAACTGGCACCATATATAGTTAAAATGTGCATTAATGGTCGACAGGTCACCGTACAAATATTTCTGATATGCATAATTCATAGACTAGACCAAGGATGGGCCGGCTTCAATTTTGCATAGTCTGCTAAAACATAACACATAGACAACTTTAAATCACTGCACCCTGATGCTGTGTTTTAAATTTAAAAAGCCAACATGGAGGCTTATGATCTCCTAATAATTGACTGAAGATAAATCATCTGCATCAAATGATCCATAGGACGCCTAGAACTGCCCATCACAATACCTCCCTTATTTCAATTCCATGCCTTCTGCTGAAGATTTTGGCTCAATCCTGTAGTTTTTGTACTCTGGTATAACAAAGTATGCATAACTGAGTTACAGAAATATTACTTTCATGCTATTTTCAAAATTACTCTTCTCGTTACAAAAGCAAACTAAAAGGAGCTGTTAGTGACCAAAAAATCTCCCCAATGACCTCCCCCCCAAGCAACAATTTAGAAGTAACAGCTGAATATTACTTTTAGTTACATTTAGAAGTAATGGTGTGAACCAACTGCACAAAAGAGCACTGTTGTACCCTGATCACATCCAAAAGTCAAATATCAAAAGTAACACCACTACAGTACTAATGACACAAAGGCCAGAATCCTACTGCGGATTTACACACTTTTCTTAATGCGAGAGTAAACTGTCATTCATGAATGAGGTGCTGCTTGTGCCCCTGGGCATCCCGGTGATCAAGAGCATGCCCAAGGGTGAAACCAGCACCTTTGGTTAATGAACAGCAAATTTCCCTTTAAGATTTATGTGATTTCTCTTGCCAAATCAGACCACTTGGTTCAGCATACTTTGCTAGAATACCATGAACCAGCAAATACTAGACAATCGACCGGAAACGGGTCAATAACCCACTGTCTAACCTCTGCCCAGCTCAACTGATACTATCAGTAGCACTGTAAGAGGTACTGCAGGAGCATAGATAACCATGCTTGCACTGGCCTCACAAATTAGAGAAGGTATTGCTTCCCTAGAAAATGACAGAAGCCAACCACAGTCATTTCTCTGTATGTACATCTCTGCTAAGTACTTGAAACAGTTTATACCACTTTAGCTGCCATGGCCCCCGTCTACTGAATCATGGGAATTGTGGTTTGGGTGAGGGCTTCATCCCATTAAACTGCTGCACTGAGATCGGTGAACTGCCTCTGGAATACTTCAGACATTTAACAAGTATCCCACATGGCTCAATTGACATGGTAGTTTTCCATTTAGACAGAACTGCAGACAGAAGATACTTTGCGCTAAATTCCGCCCCTCCTCCCCCAGCTCGGGTGTGCTTTCTCGTGATTATGTGTCCCACTTACTAAGAATTTTCTGTCAACTGGGGAAAGGACATAACCCTGTTGCACATATGCCCTAAGAACTAGCCGATTCTCTAATCTCCCTGATGAACCGCTTTGTTCATCTCCAAACCTTGCACATTACCAAGCTAACAAAGCAAACGCTATATCTGAGAAAGCAAGGAGCTATAAATCATGCTGGGACATGTGGGGGGGTCAACAAGCAAAAGGGATGAATGCAGTTAACAGATGCTCTTTTCACAGCAAGAAAACATTTGTCCCACACAGTAGTTTTTTGCAAAGGGCAAAAGTATTGTGGGATAGAGGCAGTGCTTCATCTCTGCATTCACAAGAGTTATTTACCACTTTGGTTGGGAGGCGCAATCTGAATATTTCCACTTTCTAGAAAGAATGACTGTTCATCTTTCAGAAATTGTGTTCATTTATGGATCTGGTTTAGGTGTAATAATAATCCAGGATTTCAAGTTCATCATTCAGGGTTTTTGTTAATTATTTATTTATTCATTTAAAATATTTTTACCCTTTCTTCTTAAAAAGTACTCAGGGACCCATTAAAAAGCATCCATTAAAAGACAATCCTTGACAATTTGTCCAGTCGTGTCCGACTCTAGGCGGCGGTGCTCATCTCCGTTTCTAACCCACAGAGCTACCGTTTTGTGCGCAGACAATCCTCCGTGGTCACGTGGCCAGCATGACTAGACACGGAGCACTGTTTACCTTCCCACCAAGGTGGTACCTATTTATCTACTCGCATTTTTGCATTTTGCATGATTTCAAACCTCTTCAAAGCTAAAAACAGTAAGCGCACAGATACTAGAAAGGGTCAAATACCTCACTACAACATGATAAATAAAAACAACAGCAAAAGCACATTCAAAGCAGAAAGGCACAGCAATCAATTTAACAACCTGTCACTGAGGGAAACCTTGCCTGAAGAGAAAAGTCTTTGCCTGCTTGCAGAAAGACTGCAAAGATGGGGCCAGCCTGGGAAGGAGTTCCAGAGACTGGGAGCAGCGACAGAGAAGGCCCTCTCACACCTGTGAAGGAGGTGGGACTAACAGAAAGGCCACTCCTGATGATCTTATCACCCAGGCCAGCTCATAATGGGAGATACGGTCTTTGAGATAACTTAGACCCAGGCCATTCAGGGCTTTAAAGGTTAGAACCAGAACTCTGAATTCCGCTTGACAATGGATCAGCAGCCAGCGGAGCTGCTGTAACAAGGGAGTGAAGTGATCCCTGTGGCCAGCCCCAGTTAGCAACTGGGCTGCTGTATTAGCAGCATGCTTGTGCACTTGGCTTGATCACTCTGTGCTGTAAGCAGGAACATCACATATTTTCTGGCCTTAATTTGTTTACTGTTCCATGTGAGCTAGGAACACCTCTCTTTACAAATAAAACAGAGCAATAAACCAGCAATCAAATGTGGTCTATGATTCTGGCTTGTCAAGTCAAAATCCCTAGCTTGTAAATTTATCTATAAACTAACGATAAGCAGAAGATCTGTGGTTTGTTTAGCTGTTTCCACTCACAGAAGAAGCCAGATGGGAAAAAGTGAAGCCATTTCGCTGGCTTATTTGCAAGCAGCTGACTTTGGTACAAAATTTGCTCTCTGACAATGTCTATTTCAAGTCCAAATGCCTTACAAGTAATCCAAAGTATTATTACAGAATAAGAGATAGTATATAGTATATCACCAAACACCTTCATGTTCATCTTCCACTAAAGTTACCGTTCTTGAAAAAGAAGGAGAAAAAAAATCCATTCTGGTCAGCAACAATGAAGGGGAACATCGCACAAACCCAACATCTTTCCAGTGTACAAAATAAGATGGAAAGGATGGTATTGAATAATAAAGGGCAAAGATGTCAGAACAAGAAAGACTCAAATAGCAGATAGCCCTCAACCATAAAAGTCTTTTAACAATTACCTATATTCTACCATATGTTAGTTTTGCATTCACTGAGTTATTGTGGTGCCCTGAGATCTTTAATATTACTCAATCTTTGTTTCCCACAAATAAAGTATGGGATCAAACCATAACTGAGCCCCTGAACACTAGTTTTTAACCGAGTAACTTTAAAAAAATGTTTTAAATCATTCAATGTATTTTAATTACTATTATAATTTAATTGTTTTAATTATAATTTATTGTGATTTTAGAGCCACCTCACTGAGAAAAAAGCAGCCTATAAATTAAACAAACAAACAAACACAGTCATCTAGCCAAAGAGATGATTCATAAGACTACAGGGAAGGACAAACCGTGTGATAGAAAATATGAAGTATCGTGTTTCCCCGAAAATAATTATTGCTCCAAAAATGCATTAGGGCTTATTTTCAGGGGATGTTTTATTTTTTTAATGTACAACTATCTACGTTTATTCAAATACAGTCATGTCATCTTCTGGTTGCTGCACAATGGTGGAGGGTGCGGTTTCACTTAACTAGGGCTTATTTTTGGGGTACGGTTTATATTACGAGCATCCTGAAAAACCATACTAGGGCTTATTTTCAGGTTAGGTCTTATTTTCTGGGAAACAGGGTACTAAAATGTTTGGTTAACAAGAAGAGACTAGTTAAGCCATTAAGAAGTGTATATTCAAGGTCTCTTACTCCACCACACAATCTCTTTTTAAATTTAGCAAAATGAATATCTCTTTGAAAGGTGACTCCGAACGCAAAGAATTTATTGTGGAAGCTCCTACCACCAAATTAAGCTTGGTCACATCTGAATACATGCATATATAATACAATCAAGTTTCACTTAATGTTGACTCACTGAAATTGATGCATCTTCATTTCTTCTCTTAGCACTGGAGTCAAATAAAACGTTTCGTCCTCTTCTTTCGCAGTCCTGGTATACAATTAGTCGGATCTGACTTGGATCAAACTCCGGTAAAGGCCAGCTTTAATAGGTGGGAGAGAAAGAGATGGAAAGATAAATAAGAAAATGGGTTTTCCGGTTACCATAATTTTTGCAACTGATGCAATGTGCATGTAATCAAATAAATAAATGCAATTAATTAATTAAATAAGTATTAATAAGTAATGCCACCCGGACAACAGAACAAAAATTTTATTCTGAGCAAAAGCCATGAAAATATTTTCTTTCCCATATTACACAGTGATATATAAGGGTGTTACTCCACTGGAAACACTAATAAATATTAAAATGATTTCTTATCAGAGGTATGTCTCACCCTTTCCAGCACACAATGCAGAGTATGATTACAATGTTTGTATTAAAAGCACATGCACTGAAATTACTATTGTTAAGGAAAAGAGACACACCAACTGAGAACAATTAAACATTTTAGAGCAAATGTTTTCAGCTTGATTAAGTTTTTTTTTTTAAAGGCTAATGGCTTTCCAAAAATAATTTATTGTGATCATGAGAAGATCATGACTAATCAGTTCCTGTTTCATAGACATCTCATGTACATTTAACATCACATTCCACACAGTCCACACAGAATTTTTCTTCAATGAGCCACTGAAAAGCACACCGTCTTCCTAAGGCTCTGTGATCTTTTCAGAGAAGGCCTAAGGTTGTGGTATTAAAAATGAAAGAAAAAAGAAATGTTACCGTATTTTTCCATGTATCAGGCAGTACCTTTCTCTAAAATATTTAGATTAAAAATTTAGGGTCATCTTATCCACTTTCTTCGGAAGACAGTGGAGGGAGAAAGCACTTTCCTCACTAGAAAGTGGAGGGGGGAAGTAGGAATCGCTTTGATGAATCACTTTGATGATTATGCTTTCCCCCTCCACTTCCTTCCAAAGAAAGAAATTCTGGGTTAGAAAAGGGGGGGCGCATCTTATACGTGGGGACGTGTTATACATGGAAAAATAGAGCACATTTGTAGTTATTAACTTGCAATAATTTTTATTAAATTAAGAGGACTTTTTGACAAGGTCCTGACTAGTGCTGTGCAGGTGCAATTATGGTTACAGTCAATGTGGAGTGGGGGAGACTTGTGACACAGATGGAGGAAAATGTGTGAAGGGACAGAGAACAGGCCACATGGCACACACAGTTCTATCCTAAACAGAAAGGGCTCATAAAAAACATGCCCCCCTCAAAGTAAAGGAATTTCTTCACCTTGCACCTTGCTTTGTCTGCAGCAAATTATGCCCAGGGGGAGGGTGGAATGGGACAGGACCATAAAGGATATAATATGGAAACAAAGAGAAAGCCAAATGTCTAAATGTTTACTAAACAAAGCTTGTTGGCTCAAAAAAGATTTTGATAAACTCAAAGAAAAATCAAGTGTGTCTCTACGCATGTTAATAGAAGTAGAGAAAAATTACTTAAAGTGGTGAAAATGGTAACTCAAGAATTAAGAACTGCTCAACAGCGTCTTCAAGTGATTTATTTCATTTACCTGATTCCTCACAGTAAGCCACATCTCACACAGCTGCTCCCCTTTCTCCCTCACACCAGATACACATGTATGCATGTATATACATCCGTGTGAGCACATACACACTTTTGTACACATGCTCTTCATTTGCTAGTATTTTGACATTAGACTCTGACAGCTGCCTAGCAATGAAAAGCAGAAAGTGTTCGAGAACTTCAAGAACATCTGCTTATAAAAAGCGCCAAGAGCAAATTACCTGCTAACTGTAGAGTTAAATATATTTGTAAAAACCCAACTGATTACATTCAACAGCATATTCAATCAAGGTAAAATGAACCTATCTATCCACCCATCTGTGCACATATTTAAACCACTTTGAAAGGGATATGGGGTGTGCTATAAATTTATTTTACAATCACCCCAGCTAGCTATTTATAAGTCTTATCAGTGTTACATAACATGGCTCAGGTCTCCTAAGAGCCATTTTTGGCAGCTCCAAAAGAGTCTTAGGAATCCAAAGAAACCTCAGAGGACCAACCAAGGGAAGGCGTTTAGTAATTCAGTAAGACCCAAACAAGCTGGATTCCCACACATACCCATCCATGAGCTACCAGCAGGTCCTGGCAGGGAAGAGATGTGTTAAAAATAAACTGTCAGGGTGACAGGCACTGAAGAAGAAACTACGTGCACCATTTATCAACCGATCAGACACTTCTTAAAAATGATCAAGAAATTAGGATTTCCACAAAATGTGCAAACTGCACCAAAGTTGTGGTTTCCCGTTTCAAAGAACTGATGGTATGAATCTGTGAGAACCACAAAAACAGAAATACGCAGCATTCCATCTTACTCACTGATGGTGGAACTTGAAATAAAATCACAGCACCTGGGGCATTCTTGTTCCTCCCTACCACCACCTTTATATATATATTTCAATGTTCGGACAGCCCCTCTTTCCCCACTAGGGGCGTACAGTGTGAGTTTTCTATGTTTTGAGTAGTCCCAGAAAACCCTGGAATCCCAACCCCATCCCAAATTTATACTGTAAAAAAAAGAGAGAAAAAGAGGATTAAAGAAGTTCAAAATGTTCTTTTCTATAAACCTGTCATTTAACAAAATGCCACTGTAATAATTTTTTAAGTAATATGTTGCAAAGATATGCCAGTTTTAGCTTGAAAAGTCATGGCAAAATAAAAAGAACTCAGAATGAAGGGTGGTTGTTTTTCTTTTTCTTTTCTTTTCTTTTTTTAAGAATTAGAAGGAATTATCATTTCTACCTATGTAGTTTTTTTTTCCTAAGTGGAAGATACAGAATAACTGGAACAGGTAAACAATTTTTATCTAACACTCAGGTAGGTCCTGAGTATGTTTACATTGAACTACACACAGTTGGCGTGTAGCATTAAGAAGCCCAGCAGCACAGTAAGTTTCCAATTCATTTTTCCTTCTGAGGCCATGAGAGATACGTGTGTCTGTGTGTCTACCACAACAACCCCAGGGCAGGCCTTCCTCCTGCATCCACTCTGTACAGTGGTGCCTTGCTTAGCGACGTTAATCGTGCAGCAAAAATCACTGAATCCGTGCAGCAAAAATCGCTGCTAAGCTATTTCGTCACTAAGTGATTTAAAAAAGCCCATAGAAACGCATTGAAACCCCTTCAATGTGTTCCTATGGGCTCCAAAACTAACCTTAAGCGAAAATCCTCCATTGTGGTGGCCATTTTCGGTGCCTCTAATGCGAGGCAACACAGAAGGCGGCCATTTTGTTTATCCGGTGGCCATTTTGTAACTGCCGATCAGCTGGCCGAAAATGGGGGCTTTGTGATGATCGCTTCCCCGCAATCATTGCAAAGGCCCCGCCGATCAGCTGGTGAAAATGAGCCGTTTGTGATGATCGCGGGGAAGCGATCCTCGCAAAGGCCCCGCCGATCAGCTGGTGAAAATGGGCCGTTTGCGATGATCGCTTCCCCGTGATCATCGCAAAGTGAATTTTCCCCATAGGGGCCATCGCAAAGCAATCACTTTTGCGATCGCAAAAACAGCATCGCAAAGCGATTTCTTCGTTAAACGGAGCAATCGCTATTCGAGGCACCACTGTATATGAAAGGGGGAGAACAGATATAATAGGATAGAGATGATTAATTTAAAATACAGTGGTGCCTCGCAAGATGATGTTAATTCGTTCCGCAAAAATCGCTGTTAAGCGAAAACATTGTCTTGTGAAACACGTTTTCCCATTGAAATGCATTGAAAACCTGATGATCCGTTCCAATGGGAACGGATTGCCATCGTAAAGCAAAAATTGCCATAGGAAACATCGTTAAGCGAAACACGGTTCCCAAGTGAAGACAGCCGTCTAATGAAACAGAGACCATTAAAAGACTCGTATAGCGAAGGAAGACCAAGCTGTCAAAAACATCGTAAAGCGAAAAACAGAGACCTAAAATTTAACCGTCTTGCGAGGCAAGGTCCCTAACATCGTAAAGCGAAAATCGCCTATAGGAAACATCGTTAAACGAAGCGCAAGATTACTCCGAAAACCTCATCGTAAAGCGAATTTGTCATCATCCGAAGCAATCGTCTTGCGAGGCACCACTGTATATTATGTATGTGGTCTATCTTTCCTTTAAGGATCTCAAAACAGCATTCAGTGCCCCACCACTACCACAGTATTTTCACAACTCTGAGATATTGGTTGGCTGAAACACAGTGACTAGCATGAGACCCCCATGTCTTGGAGCTTCATGAAAAAATAGGAGTTCAAAGCTAGCCAGCAATTGCCTCCTTGCTTCTTCATCACTCACTGCATGAAGCTGGAGAAAACGGATGCCCCACTCCTGCGCAACATCGTCTCATTCCTCACTACAAAGGTCGTGTTCAACCCACCCAACTGCTTGAGGGTGGAGGTGATGGGCAAGTCATAGCACCTAAGCAGCTTCACTTGTTAGGTTGAAGAACTAGGCTACCACTGATATCAAGAACTGGCCAAGACACTTCTTCAGATGTAGCTGAATATTTGATATTTTTTTTTTCTTTTACAAGGCTAAATTGTCTGTAACTATAAGGACCAAATCATCTGAAAATCATCTATATCAATTCTCATGCCAAAAGCACTACATAGACACCGCAAACTTTATCTGGTCTTCTAGAAATGTATTGAAATGACACATCCCCAAAATCCTTCCACTCATTAAGTTCAAACAGACTGTGAACATTTGATGTCTTTCCAGAGGGTGATGTTACACATTATATGGCCAATGAAGTATATCCTCTGGACTAGAGGTAGTCAACCCCTGGTCCGTGGCCTGGTGTTGGTCCGTGGCCTGAGCTGGACCGGGCCACGAAGACAAACCTCCCACCACCACTCTGCATGCACTCTCCCCACAGCTGCTTTGCGCACATGCACGTGTGCCACCGCCGGCGTGAGCGCTCCCCCATCCCTTCGCGCATGCACCTGAGCGAAGGTGCTCCAATACATGCCACCTCGCACATGCGCACGAGAGCGGGGGAAGGTGTGCCTCGCCTTCCTCAGCCGATCTGCGG